AATGCCACTCCAAATAGTGATGTGAGGGAAGAGAACGAGTTATTTACACGATATACCATAAAAAATTGCGGAAAATATATATGTCGATTTTTTCAATACCAATAGTTGGAAAGTAATGGATTATTACTTTACAAGTTAAAAAGTATCAGTCGGTTTTCCCGACAAATGCATACCCTCAGCCAATGTTCGAATATTTTGAATATATTTTAAATATATAGCCCCCATCTAATGGTATATCCCTTTTTTTGGGTTTTTGGTGATTTAAGCGACATTATTCACCGGAAATGTTTCAAATTTGGTATTTGAAGTTCGTAATAGATACTACAGCATAAAATAGAAAATGGGCCATGTAGATCCACATCTTCGTATAGCCCCCATATAACGGTACCCCCCGATATTCGGTATTCTGATGATTTTAGCGACATTATTCACCAGAAATTTCACCAGAAAATTTGGTATTTGAAGTTCGTAACGGATGCTACAGCCTATGACAGAAAATTGTCTGTGCAGGTCTACGTCTTCATACAGCCCCCACATAATGGTACCTCCTTATTTTCGGTACTTTGATGATTTTAACGACATTATTCACCGGAATTGTTTCAAATTTGGTATTTGAAGTTCGTAATGGATACTACAGCCTATGACAGAAAATTGTCTGTACAGGTCCACGTCTTCGTATAGCTCCAATATAACGGTACCTGCTTATATTTTGATGATTTTAACCTACATTATTCACCGAATTTTTCAAGTTTCGCATTTCAATATTGTAATAGTTTATGACAAGAGTTGCCTATGCAGGTCCAGGTTTGAAAATTGCCAAAATCGTTCGAAATGGTGGAGGGTATTCAAAGACAGGCCCGGCCGAACTTACTGCTTTTTTTCTTGTTTTTTTTTTTTCAAAATAAGATAGGTTTAAAGGAATCGATATAGTCCATCTCAGCATCCGGTCAAAAGTAAACAAACATTTTAAGATGCGCAAAATTTTCACAAAATCGGAGAGTAACTGTACGAAATCCACGATTTTTGAACATGTTGCCCTTTTATGGAAAAGATTGGAGAAGTTATTTGCCTAAGATTTTCATGTTGATAAAATCACACCTAATTTCTCATAATTATTGAAAAATGTTGTGTGAAAAGACCCAAAATGGCATAAAGGTAATTAAAATGATTTTTCTAAATTTGTTGATTTTCGCACCCGACCAATCTAATCGATTTTCATGAAATATTCCATGAAATATATATGTAAAGATTTTAAGTGTGAGAAAGGCAACACATCTTCGCACTAGATTTAATATTTGTCGAAATGTGTGTATGTTTAAATACTGGGGAAAATCTGTGACTCATTTCTTTCATGAGAACTTTGATCGTTCGACATTTTGACAAACCAGATGCTTGGGCATTGCCCTGAAACGCTTTTGATTTAAAGAGGCATAGGGTATAAACCCGTTAGTTCAAAGGCATAATAAGGTTGAATATTGGTCAAAATTCTGTAACTTTTGAACGGATAAAAATATCCAAAACTATATAATACACCCAATAACAAAGATTATCGGTACAAGAATTTAGGTACATCCCAAGAGTACCTTTGTCATGTTTTTTTTTTCGAAATCGGTTCAGATTTGGATATATCTTCCATATATATTTCCCCCTAATTTTATGTAAATAATATTTCAAGATCGCTATTCTATAAAAATTCTATTTATTGTATTGGCCAAACGGAAAGAGGTCCAACCATAGATGCACTAAAGGTTTTTTTGAAATTCGAACTAAAAATGTAGTAAAAGTACTAAAAAGCAATACATTTAGTACCACTTGTCATTATCTGAATATATTGAACTAAAATCAAAAGGTTGATATAAAGTGGTGGTTTTCGAAAAGTATTAAATGGTACTAAATGTTGCACATGACATGTGGAATGGAAGTGGTATTATGACTTGTGATATTAGGATAATTGTGAATGCGATGCCTTTAAATAAGGAGTCGAATTTGGAAATTCCTACTGTAACATGTACAAAAAGTTTGGTACTAAATTTGATATGTAAAGGTAGAAAAGCAATAAATCATACTATGTTTGGTATATGTGTAGGAATCGAGCTGAACTTATGAATTATTTCATGAGCGTAACTCTTTTTGGAAATGAAAATGTGTACGAAAAGTACCAAATTCGGAGGGGAATGTAAGAACAGAACTGGAAATAAAAATGTTTCTATTAGGATCACTGTGAGTGTGTAGCTTTTATATGAGTGGGTCGATTTGCAAATACGTACTATAATGTGCACGAAAAGTACCAAATGGTACTAAATTTGGTACCTAAAGTAGAAAAAGAGCAAGAATTTTGTATTTTGATATTAAGATCACTGGGAAATATAAAAATATATTTTTTTCTTTTTGCAAAGGAGAAAAATACTAAGCTACATGTACCTATGTACCCTCCACCATACATTGTATGGAGGGTATATAAAGTTCGTCTTTCCGTTTGTAACTCATCCAAAATATATATATTATTGATCAGCGTAAAATTCTAAGACGATTTAGCCCTGTCCGTCCGTCTGTAATCACGCGAGAGTCAAAACGAATAAAGATAGGAAGCTAAACTTTTGCACAGATCAGTCTTTTGTCTGCAGGCAGGTTAAGATCGAAGATGGGCTATATCGGTCCACAATATCGTATAGCCCGCATATAACGGTACCCCCCATATTCGGTATTTTGATGATCTTAGCCACATTTTTTCAACGAAATTATCTGAAAATTCACACAAGGAGTACCTTGTGAGTATTTCATCCCCTGGAAGAGAATAATTTATATAGATCGCGATATTGTATATCCCCCATATATGGACACCTCCCGATATTCGGTATTACAGCCATTATAAAGGTCACAAAAAGAAACCAAAAGACACGGCATCTCACATGAAGTTAGACTTTAGGACAACGGCTAAAATGGGCCACTACTTTTGTGTGAAAAAATACCAACATTTCCATTCTACCGAAACGCTGAAAATTTTACGGAACAAAACCAAAATACACAAAAGGCGAACTTGTGGCTTTTTTATGCTGATTTCGTTGACGAATACAGCCAAATATCATAGACAAGCGTATCATATAGATGAGTCTAATTTGGGAGATACAAAGGGGCCTCTTGCAGTTGGAGTTGATCGAAATATATTTCAGCGAAATCTTTCAAAATGGATTTGGACATAAGGAGGCTCCTAACACAATATAGTGTTGTAGGGTATCACATGGTCGGCCCCGTACGACTATAGCCTTTTCTTTTTCCATATAATTGTACCTCCCTTTGTTGGTATTTTTGTGATTTAAGCGACATTATTCACCGGAAATGTTTCAAATTTTGTATTTGAAGTTCGTAATAAATACTACAGCCTGTGACAGAAAATAGTCTGTGCACCTCCGTCTGTGTACCTCCGTTTATTCCGAATTTTGATGATTTTAGCGTCATTATTCACCATAGTAGTTTCAAATTACGTATTTAAAGTTCGTAATGGGAACTACAGTCCGTGACAGAAAATTGCTGATGCAGGTCCATATATCAGTACCTCCTTATATTCGGTATTTTGGTGATTTTAGGTACAATATTCTCCGAAATTGTTTGAGATATCGTATTTGAAGTTCGTAATAGAAGCCACAGCCTGTGACATAAAATGTTCTATGCAGGTCCAGGTCTTCGTATATCTCCTATATAACGGTACCTTCCTATGTACGGTATTTTTATGATTCTGGCTACATTATTCACCGTTTATTTCAAGTTTCGAATTTGAATATGGTAATGGCTTGTGACAAACAATCCCTATGTAGGTGCACGTCGTACAGGCCCTAATATAACGGCTATATTCGGTATTTTTAAAATGTTAACAGAATTTTTGGCGAATGTTATCATTTTCGAAAATTTTCAAATTCGGTCTGAATGGTGAAGGGTATTCAAATTCGGCCTTACTGCTTTTTTACTTATTATATTCCAGTTTCGCATTTCAATATTGTAATGGTTTATGACAAGAGTTGCCTATGCAGGTCCACGATGTCGTATAAACTCTAATATAACAGATACATTCGGTATTTATAAGATTTTAACAGAATTTTTAACGGTTTTTTTTTTTTGAAAATTGCCAAAATCGTTCCAAATGGTGAAGGGTATTCAAAGATCGGCCCCGCCGAACTTACTGCTTTTTTACTTGTTTTTATTTAATTTAGATAAATTTTGTCGTCTTTGTAAATACATTTTTTCTTTCTTAACAATATGGGTCCATGTTTTGGTACACATTTATATATAAACACCCTCTGATGTTAGTTATTTCGAGGGTTTTTGCCATATTTCCAATTGATTTATCTTAAAGTTGGTTTCTCAGTACCCCAACATTCCTAATTGGGTCCACTTACATATGCACTTTTTACTTGGAGCAATTACATATGTTTTTCAATATTCATAGCAATTTCTTCTACACCGAATTGTTCTTCATTTGCAGAAAGTGACACATGGAATGTTGCGACATCCCTATGCTGCCAAAATTTTATATTAATAGCTTTTAATAATCCAAAAAATGCAATTTGCTGACGCCGTCAATAGGCTCCAATTCAAAATGGAATTGCAGCGTCTGCATTCTTCTTTGGTTTTTATTATTCCTTTTTGCATAGTGACGAGACAAGCTAAAAGCAGGCAGTGTCAATAATAAATCTCAACGTAAACAATCGCTGACATAAACCAGCCGTACATTTTGAGAAAAAGACATTGGCACACGCACACACACTCGCACACATGCTCAGCCAATATTCTCTTTTATCCGTCACTAATGGCTCGACGAATTCTTCTCAAAATAATCCAATTGGGAAATGACGACAACGACGATGACGATGGTGATGGTGATGATGATGATTAGTGTAGGGGAAACAATTAAAGAACGGGGAATATCTGTCTAAACATTACCCATTAAAAATCCACAATAAATTATTAATAAATTGTGTAATGTACTTTGCACATTTGCCACTTACTTTTCAACTCTCCGGCAGCTACACGAAAGAACTTCCTATTTGCTCATCGTGTGTTGCATTGATTATTTTCGCACATTTCATGAACTGTGGCAACCTAGTTGTCTGGTTGTTGGTCGTCGGCCTGCTTCCGATGCTGTTTTTAGGGGTTGTTTACCTTTTTAGAACAATTTCCTCTTAGAATTTTTTTCGATTGTTGTGAGGAATAATTTTTCATTATTATTATTTCTTTGCACAAAAGCACATAAATTAGATATTTCTTCTCTGGTTCCTTTTCTTTTTTTTAATAATTTTTGCACATGTTGCGGCCTTTTTCACTTCTTTCTAAATTAGGATATTTCTCTGGTGCAGACTCGAATTTGTCGTCACAACACACACGCATACAAGAACGACACTCCCGTTTATTAAAGGCAGCACCCTGCAACTGATGCATTTTTCATATTCCACATGCCGAGAAACGTTGCTCTTGCGAGTGGACTTGTTTGTTTTTATTTGAAAACAATTTTAGCAAAACAAATGGGGAATTGTGTGGAAGAAAACAACAAAACACAGTATCAACGACAACACGACCATCCACCAACTCAACGACAACCGACCATCCACTTTGAATGGCTATGCCTTTGCAACTGACAACAACTATCACCACGGCAGCAGCGTTTGGCGGATTGATAAAGGAACGAATAACCCCCAATGGCCGGCCGTGTGGAACATGCTCTTTTTATTTTCTCTCGCATATCATTTAAATAATCCCCTAAGTGTAGTGGTGAGGTTGGACACCAACTGCATTGTAGCTCGCTCCCGTTGTTGATGTGCTATCACCACTCACACAAAACACGCAGAACAGATGTTCCAACTCTCGTTGGATTATACGAAACAGAGAAAATATTTCTCCCTCATCTGTTCTCTCAGAACCACCATAGCCGGCTGTAAGGGTTGCCAGCGGTTGTTTTTTCATATAGATTTTATCAAATTTAAAAATGGCCATAACTTTAAAAAGTATATCTTAAAAAATAAACATAGATAAAATGGAATATGTCACCAGTAGAATATTGGGTTTATTAGTACAACTCGACACCAGTTAATGCTATCAAAATGGCAAGCACTTAGCAAAGTGTCACCAAGATACTGAAAATAAGTTAAAACCCGTAAGGAAAGACAATTTTCAATTCTATCTATGGCCATATTTATTTGGATAACAATCTTACAAACTAACAGGAATGGTTTACTGTGCTAAAATCTTAACTATATATATGTAGCTATTCGCTATCTACAACTATGTACATAAAAAATCAGCTATGCTTTTAAATAAAAAGGAAAAGACTTAAAAATATAAATGCCCCAAAAATTCGAATATTAAAAATGGGCGAACTCTACCATGTTATACAATATCTTAAAACTATGGATTAGGGACTAAAATTACAAACTAAGGACTAAAACTACTATACCTCTGAGCCCAATTACTGAGTACTTTTTACACGACGTCATCAATATTAAGGGTTTTGTATCGCCGATTATAAAATCGACGAACAGCGTCCCTTCCTCCGACATCCTTTTTAAGGCACCAGGAGGCAGGTGTCTGAGACTTCTCAGACCTTCTACGTCCAGATTGCAGTACAGCGCAACATTACTTGGGGAGTTAACCCACCATGCATCTTCATCAGCCCTTCATAGCTGAAGAAGATCTTTTTTGCTCCGGCCAGGATAAAATCTATGTGCCCTTTGAAGTCAAAATTCTTTTGAAAAGTGACCCCAAGGTATTTTATCCTGTCCTTTTCACTGTCCAACTTTCACTACCGGAACCTATATAAGACCGCAAGATAAATGTTCAGACGTGCTTCCGCTATACGAGCATTCGGGGCTCTATATGCCACAAGAACATGGTCGGCATACCCTCCACGTAAAGGTGTAGGCATGTCTCTGACATAGGCGTGTCACTGGGAACGCCTGTCACTACAAGTTTGCGACTAGATAGTCGCTCGCTCGCACCCTATAATACCTATCAGATAACAAACTGCCTACCAATCGCAAGGTTTGGTGATCAAATCCAAACCGTTGCATTTTAAACAATAATCCTTGATGTCATACGGTATCAAAGGCCTTCGAAAAGTAAGTCCAATTGCAATAGTGCCTTGCCCATTGTTTAGACCTGAAGCCTCGTAGGATGTGAGTGCAGTTAGGGCATGGACAGTTTATAGGCCTGCCCTAAACCCGAACTGATTGTCCTTCAACACCCTTTTGTCCTCTACGAGTTTATTTAGTCAAAGGCCGATAGGCATTGTCCAGGGGAGAGCCTATTTTATATATGGGAACCAACATAGCTTCTTTCCATGCCCTGGGAAAGTAAACCAGGTTCTGACAGTGATTGAATAACACTGCAAGAAAAGCGAAAATAACCTCGCCCGCCTTTTTTAAGACGGTATCAGGTATATTGTCCAAACCGCAGGATTTACGTGCTTGGCGATTGTCTTACCCACAGAACCGGCGCGAAGAAACCCGCTCTCGTTGATTCCTTTTATAGCTCGACTAAATGAGCTACGGAGGGCATCATGTTCCGCAGGAAACCGATTAACTGGGCCTCCTGAGAAATGACCACTCGGTCCTCCCATGGCCGGCAAAACACCCTGCACATGATCTGCCAATGCTTCAGCCTTTTCACCGTCGTCCGAAATAAGTCGACCTGTATTGTCCACTAACTGACTTACAGGTTCTCTAGTAACTAGTCCAGCTGCCCTTTTGATTTTGCCAAAAGCTTTTCCATCAACTCTTATTCTCCCTAAATAATTTTTGAGCGGCATAGCCTGCGACACTCTCGAATAAAGCCCAAAATTCTCGGAGTAAGATCTCCAAGAGTGTTAGGCTTAACTCTCTGTTTAGGTACAGAGGTCTCTATACCATTGCGTAAAATTTCGCCTTGATTTTCCACAAACTTACGTACCTCATCTATTGATGCATTTCTGTTAGATGGAAGTGTGCACTCATCTTATCCTATCATAAGCTACCGCTTAAAACGTCATACGTTCATGCGATTGAAGTTCAATTTCTGTCCTTCATTAATTGAATTTGATTCGCTCTGTGATCCGATTCAAAATCAAATGTCATAGAAATATTTCCGCCAGCAACCAGAGGGAGTCCCGGTGTACGCAGAATCCTGGTGTACGCATACCGTAGTGCCTCCATTGGTGAGAGATACATCGAGACGAAAGCTACAGTGGAGCCATTGTCCTTCCATACCCTCACCACATAGGACTCTATACGTCCGGTTGAGATTGGTATTCGATCACAGCGAATACCATCTCGAATAGCAAGCGCGGTAACTCCTTGGCTTTAGCCTTGCGGGCTAAAATTACCAGACGGAAGGGACAATCCTTAGCCGAAGCAGAATGTCCGAATTTACCACCGTTGACACAGTAGCAAGCCTGAGCCACCTTTTTCACTACCTCCCCAGTACTTAGGTCGGTATATTCGACTAGAGTGTCTTGTCTCTTTGGAGAAACAGGACACTCTTTTGGACCATGATTGTCATTGCACTTGTTGCAGCGCTTTGGAATGGGCAATTATTCGCCATGTGGTCGTGGCCTTGGCAATTAAAATATTGCTGCATTCCACGACCTTTGTCCTTAGGGACCTTACGTTGCAGTCGAAAATTATTTTGAGGTTATACAACCCCAAAATGTCCGAACTTTTTCTGACACGCAAAAGCCATAATCAATAGGAGATGTTGATCAGACCAACTATCTCAATTTTTAAGCCAGATTCGTTAGTGAGGAAATCACTAACTTTCACTAACTTCTTAATGGCAAGCATATGAGGGCGTAATTCTTTTGGTGTGTGCGTATAAAATTTATACCCACGGTCTGCCAAGATCTGCTTGATATTATTAAATGCATTAAGGTCTCTGACCTTCAATGCTAAAACGGAGGGACGGACCAATTTGATTGAAAACACACCTGGACGAAGATGCTCTCTGAGGATGCCTGCGACCTCTGGAACGCCAGCGTCAAAAATTTTAAACGACGGCGTGTTTTTGTCGGCACCCCTTGGTCGGATTTGCTGCTTTGCATTTGCAGCAGCGGGAACTGTCTGATATCTGGTACCAACAGCATCTTCGACGCCACTTTTCTGTGGTAGCGAATTCTTCTTCTCAGCTTCCTTCAGGACATACCGAAGTTTCAGCACTGCACCTTTGGATATGTCCTTCTTCTTGTTCTTGGCCTCTGTCGCCGGCGGTGCGACCTCCATCTCCGTCGTCGTCCGTCATACCGAGTTCTTTGGCTGCCTCGGTAGCCAATACGGTCTCCTTGCTGGGTTTACTTAGCGCTTGCTTGGCAGCAGCCAGCTCTGCTGCCATGCACTTCTTTTCTTCTTCAAGCCGGGTAATGCGGGCTTCCAACTGCCGGCTTCAACTCTTGTTAGAGTGTATAATTCGGATTTGGGTGACTTATATGTAAAATCGGATGAACCATATATATGAGAGCTATAGCTATATCAAAACTGAAATTCATTACACTTGAATCGAGGCTAAATTTGGTAGTCTCTGCCAAAATGTATCCCATTCGGGCTAAAATAACAAATTTGGCGAACAATATCCTTGAAATAGATCGAAGATATATATGGGAGTTATATCCAAATCTGAACCGACATCGAAAAAACTTGGCAGAGGTATTTTTGAGCTGTATCTGATATCTGGTACCAAATATAATTGTTGCGGAGTGCATATTACGAATGTGAGGGACTAAACACAAAATCGGGTTTTAAATCTCTATATATATGTTAAGCTCAAGATAAATAAAATTGGTCTTCCTCAAAAATATATCCGTTTTTACATGGTAGAAGAATTCAGGTAGATGCATCAAAGCTTGGGAACATAATATGCAACTCGTCACACGTAAATGTTATTTTAAAAACCAGTAAAGAAAGTCTGAAAGTCGGACGGGCCCGACTTTATGATTCCCTACACCACTTTGCTAGTTTAGTAGAGCTGCGCATAACAATTAAAAGTTTTTATGGGAGAATTCAATCATACACGCTATGATTATAATTATAATTTAAAGTTCAAAGGACTAAATATGCCGAAGCATTTGTATCGTTTAAATTCGGACTTGTATTGTCCATTTGGTGCACAATTAATTTGAAACCGGATAAAAATATATATGGGAGCTATATCCAAATCGGAACCGATCTCGATAAAATTTAGCAAAGATATTTCTGAGCAGGGCCTCAATTCTTGTTCTATGAAAAAGTGAAATGAAAACTTTTATAAAGGAAATAAATGTCAAATGAAAAATTTTATAATGGAAATACTTTTCATTTCATATTTTCATAGAACAAGAATCCAGCCCCTGTATTTGATATATTTCCCCAAATATTGTTTTTACAGAGTGCATATTACGGCTGCGGAGGACAAAAAACAAATCGGATGAACAATATATATGGGAGCTATAGCTATATCTGAACCGATCAAATTTGGCATACTTATTTTCAGGCCTAATTTGGTTGTATATGCAAAATTCCATACTATTCGGACTGATATTATACGTTTGGTGCACAATAAAAGGCAAATCGGACGAAGATATATATGGGAGCTATACCCAAATGTTGACCGATTATCTCTAATTTCAATAGGGCTCGTTCTTGGGCCAAGC